ACAGAGGACAAGGGGCGCTCTTTACATCTGGAGGAAAAGAAATGTAATCTCCAAACACGGAAAGGTTTCTTCACAGTAAGAGGATATAACATTTATAGGGAAAGTAAACTGGATCATGCTTTGCTGGATTTTTTTAGCCTTCCTCCAGATTAATGATGGTGGATTAGAACTTGTCTTTATGGTTGATTTGGATGGATTTTTGTCTTTCAGCCAGACTATTTTTTTTTTTTTTTTAAACACTAAGGGTTTTTATTGCCATTGCGGTCTCTGAGACAGGAAATGAGAAAAAGAAAAAAAAAAATTCAGACAGCCTAAAAAACGGAAAGAAAAAAAAAAAATAAAAAATCCTGAAGCATTTCCCACTCTATCCAAATTTTAAACAAGATAGTTTTGCCTAAAGGCTTCCTATGGGTGTTGCCCATTGATTGTGAATGATCCTGATGTAATTAACCCAATAAGGAAACTCTATACATTGTAAATGGGTAAAAGGATACATAGAAATCAAAAAGGAAATTGTATCCTTGATAGTTGGGTAAATGAAGTAATTGCATTGACTGAATTATATTATTTGTAATTGCATTACTTCCCTCATAAGGAAGTGAACAGAGAGATGAAGTCTAGTTTCGAGGATGGCTGTGAGCGAGATGTGACCTGGATGCCATTACACGTGAATTTTGGGGTGGAGCAGGTTGGTTTTAACCAGGTCTAGAATAAATATCACCCTCCTTCCCTACTCAATTTACATAAAGGTGTATTCTGGGGTGAGCCAGATGTGCTTGTTAAGGGGAGCACTGATTTATACCATCAATTCAAATGAATGAGCTTGAACCTGCAACCTCTGCCGTGTCTGGTGAGGTCTCTTCTTGCCCTCCAAAAAAGTACATCCTTTCCAGGCAAAGACCCTCCAACAATAAATCTTCTTCAGGAAAGGAGCCCTCCATTAGTACATCCTGTTCAGCAAAGGATCATCCTACACTACATGCTCTCCAAGTAAACGACCCTTCTACACTAAATGTTTCCTTGAAAAGAACTCTCCAAAAGTACATCCTCTCCAAGTAAAGGAGCTTCCAACACAATCTTCTCCAGAAAAAATGGCCCTCCAACAGTACATCCCGTTTAGAAAGGAACCATCCTCCAGTACATTATCTCCAATGAAAATGACCCTCCCAACACAGTTTTCCAGGAAAAAGAATTCTCCAACACTACATCTTCTCCAGGCAAAAGCGCCTTCCAACGCTACATCTTCTCCAGGCAAAAGCGCCTTCCAACTCTACATCTTCTCCAGGCAAAAGCGCCTTCCAACGCTACATCTTCTCCAGGCAAAAGCGCCTTCCAACGCTACATCTTCTCCAGGCAAAAGCGCCTTCCAACGCTACATCTTCTCCAGGCAAAAGCGCCTTCCAACGCTACATCTTCTCCAAAGCGCCTTCCAACTCTACATCTTCTCCAAAGCGCCTTTCAACTCTACATCTTCTCCAAAGCGCCTTCCAACTCTACATCTTCTCCAAAGCGCCTTCCAACTCTACATCTTCTCCAAAGCGCCTTCCAACTCTACATCTTCTCAAAAGCGCCTTCCAACTCTACATCTTCTCCAGGCAAAAGCGCCTTCCAACTCTACATCTTCTCCAGGCAAAAGCGCCTTCCAACTCTACATCTTCTCCAGGCAAAAGCGCCTTCCAACTCTACATCTTCTCCAGGCAAAAGCGCCTTCCAACTCTACATCTTCTCCAGGCAAAAGCGCCTTCCAACTCTACATCTTCTCCAGGCAAAAGCGCCTTCCAACTCTACATCTTCTCCAGGCAAAAGCGCCTTCCAACTCTACATCTTCTCCAGGCAAAAGCGCCTTCCAACTCTACATCTTCTCCAGGCAAAAGCGCCTTCCAACTCTACATCTTCTCCAGGCAAAAGCGCCTTCCAACTCTACATCTTCTCCAGGCAAAAAGCGCCTTCCAACTCTACATCTTCTCCAGGCAAAAGCGCCTTCCAACGCTACATCTTCTCCAGGCAAAAGCGCCTTCCAACGCTACATCTTCTCCAAAGCGCCTTCCAACTCTACATCTTCTCCAAAGCGCCTTTCAACTCTACATCTTCTCCAAAGCGCCTTCCAACTCTACATCTTCTCCAAAGCGCCTTCCAACTCTACATCTTCTCCAGGCAAAAGCGCCTTCCAACTCTACATCTTCTCCAGGCAAAAGCGCCTTCCAACTCTACATCTTCTCCAGGCAAAAGCGCCTTCCAACTCTACATCTTCTCCAGGCAAAAGCGCCTTCCAACTCTACATCTTCTCCAGGCAAAAGCGCCTTCCAACTCTACATCTTCTCCAGGCAAAAGCGCCTTCCAACTCTACATCTTCTCCAGGCAAAAGCGCCTTCCAACTCTACATCTTCTCCAGGCAAAAGCGCCTTCCAACTCTACATCTTCTCCAGGCAAAAGCGCCTTCCAACTCTACATCTTCTCCAGGCAAAAAGCGCCTTCCAACTCTACATCTTCTCCAGGCAAAAGCGCCTTCCAACTCTACATCTTCTCCAGGCAAAAGCGCCTTCCAACTCTACATCTTCTCCAGGCAAAAGCGCCTTCCAACTCTACATCTTCTCCAGGCAAAAGCGCCTTCCAACTCTACATCTTCTCCAGGCAAAAGCGCCTTCCAACTCTACATCTTCTCCAGGCAAAAGCGCCTTCCAACTCTACATCTTCTCCAGGCAAAAGCGCCTTCCAACGCTACATCTTCTCCAGGCAAAAGCGCCTTCCAACTCTACATCTTCTCCAAAGCGCCTTCCAACTCTACATCTTCTCAAAAGCGCCTTCCAACTCTACATCTTCTCCAGGCAAAAGCGCCTTCCAACTCTACATCTTCTCCAGGCAAAAGCGCCTTCCAACTCTACATCTTCTCCAGGCAAAAGCGCCTTCCAACTCTACATCTTCTCCAGGCAAAAGCGCCTTCCAACTCTACATCTTCTCCAGGCAAAAGCGCCTTCCAACTCTACATCTTCTCCAGGCAAAAGCGCCTTCCAACTCTACATCTTCTCCAGGCAAAAGCGCCTTCCAACTCTACATCTTCTCCAGGCAAAAGCGCCTTCCAACTCTACATCTTCTCCAGGCAAAAGCGCCTTCCAACTCTACATCTTCTCCAGGCAAAAGCGCCTTCCAACTCTACATCTTCTCCAGGCAAAAGCGCCTTCCAACTCTACATCTTCTCCAGGCAAAAGCGCCTTCCAACTCTACATCTTCTCCAGGCAAAAGCGCCTTCCAACTCTACATCTTCTCCAGGCAAAAGCGCCTTCCAACTCTACATCTTCTCCAGGCAAAAGCGCCTTCCAACTCTACATCTTCTCCAGGCAAAAGCGCCTTCCAACTCTACATCTTCTCCAGGCAAAAGCGCCTTCCAACTCTACACATCTTCTCCAGGCAAAAGCGCCTTCCAACTCTACATCTTCTCCAGGCAAAAGCGCCTTCCAACTCTACATCTTCTCCAGGCAAAAGCGCCTTCCAACTCTACATCTTCTCCAGGCAAAAGCGCCTTCCAACTCTACATCTTCTCCAGACAAAGAACCCTTCCAAAGGGCTCCCCAAATATTTTTCCGCTTCCCCAGACCACATCAGAAGGAAACCTAGTGATCAGCCAGGGTGAAATCACTTCAGCTAATAGAATCTTCTATTCCTTTTATCAGTCCATCCCCCACAGTTATTACCTTTTGTACCACCAGCCCCTCCCTCTTAGATTCTAAGCTCCCAGGATCAGGGCCCTCCTATCCCTCTTGTATTGAACTGTATTGAGCTGTATTGTCTCCCGTTATATTGTAAAGCGCTGAGCAAACTGTTGGTGCTATAAATCCTGTATAATAATAATAATATATATGTATCTTCTTGCTCAGTATACTAGAAAACCCTCCATAGAAGGAGACAGAACAATGTTCTAGGTTATATGGAAACCCAACAACTGCAGAAACCGGAAAACAGGCTGGCTACAAGCCTAGCTGCCCACTACATCTGTATAGTGACATTCTAGCAGAGTCCCTACATGTACAACAAGCTTCACCCACTTGCCCTCCAGAGGATTTCCCCCCAGTTCCTACCCCCCCTTCCTAACCAAGCCTTTTTTTGTGATACGGCGCTGCGGTACTTTAACTGAAAATTGCACTGTCATGCAACGCTGCACCCAAATTAAATGTATGTCCTCCCCCCCCCCCCCCCACACACACACAAATAAGACCTGTCGGTGGCATTTGATCACCTCTGCATTTTTTGCTAAAAAACAAAAAAAAAAAAAAACACCCCCCCAAAAAAAAAAAACTCAATAGCATCAAATATAACATTTACCAATGGCGGTACATACATACAGTATATACACACACTTTATACTAGTAATGACGGCGATCAGTGACTTATAGCAGGACTGCGGTGGACATTCTTACATGGGGTGGGGGGGGGGGGGGGGGACTAACTGCCACTGACATTCCAATGACATTAATACAATGATCAGTGCTAATAAAAAGTACTGACACTGTACCAGAGGCAGACTGACAACTCATGGGGCC